TAGTGGTAAGATTATACATTTTATTTTCTAATTTCAGTTTTATTTTTAAAATGTAAGTATATATATATATCATTTTACACAGCTGGATACCTCTAAAGTGTAATCCTTTGATTGATTCAAACCGCCCTGAAACTCACCTTATCCTGCAGCATTTCACTGTAGACTTTTCCCCCCAGTGTATATCCTGCATAGATGAATAAAGGACAGGTTTTACCTGTTTCTTTTGAAAAACGCTGTTGTGCCTTTAATTCTTTTATAAGCCTCGTCCACAGGTGGCCTGGAACATTCAACACAATAAGTGATACAAGTGGTGAGTAAACACCCTTGGTTTGCTATTGATCTTAGAGGATGAATATTCACTTTTTTATCTTTACACTTGATTTTAGCTGTAGGATTTTCATAAATGACCTTTACTAGGTTGAGAAAGTTCCCTCCTATTCCTAGTCTGATGATAATTTTTATAAGAAGTACATATGACATATGCTTTTATTAAATGTTTTATTCTACCTCTACTGAAATCAGATAGTTTTTATTTCTCAGCTATAAACATCAGTTGTTCATGTTATCTTTTTTACGTATCTTTGCGTCTATTTGCTAATTTTTTAAAATTTTATTTTATTGAGGTAAACACAAGATCTGCCCTCTTAACAAATTTTCAAGTCTACAGTACAGTATTATTAACAATAGGTAAAATGTTGTATAGTAGATCTCTATAATTTATTCATCTTGCATAATTGAGGCTTTATGCCCTCTGATTAACGTCGTCCCATTTTTTCCTCTCTCCATTGCTGGCAACCACCATTCTATTCTCTGATTTTATAAGCTTGACCACTTTAGATATTTCACATAAGTGGAACCATATAGTATTTATCCTGTGACTCGCTTACCTCATTTAGCATAATGTCCTCAAGTTTCATCCACATTGTTACATATTGCAGGATTTCATTTTTAAGGCTGGATAATATTCTATTGTATTTGTATGTACATGTTGGCTACTGTGACTAGTATAACAATGGACAGTAGTATATTAATATTTCTTTGAGATTCTTATTTCAATTCTTTTGCATAATTACCTGGAAGGGGGATTGGTGGATCGTATAGTAGTTCTATTTTTATTTTTTTGAGAAATCACCATCCTGTTTTCCACAGAAGCAGTACAATTTTTCATTCCCACCAAAGTGTTCAAGGGGTCTAATTACCCTATATACTTCCCAACACTTGTCTTTTGTTTGTTTGATAATAACCATCCTTATAAGTGAAAGATGATTATTTGCTGCTTATAATTTGCATTTCCCTGATGATTAGTGATATTGAGCATCATTTCATATACCCATTGACCCTTTGTATGTTTTTTATGGAGAAATGACCATTCAAGTCTTTGATACATTTTTTAATTGGGTTACTTGTGTTTTTTAATATTGAGTTGTAGGAGTTCTTTATATGTTTTGGATATTGACTCCTTTTCTGATATATGATTTGCAATTATTTTCTCCCATTCTGTAGATCATCTTTTCATTCCACTGGTTGTTTCCTTTGTGAACCCTGAAAATTTGAGACAGGTCTCAGTTAATTTAGAAAGTTTATTTTGCAAAGGTTGATTGAGTTTTCTTAAGACTTCTTTAATGACCTAACATATGATCTATCCTGGAGAATGATCCATGTGCACTTGAGAAGAATGTATACTCTGCTGCTGTTGGATTGAATGTTCTGCATATGTCTGTAGGTGACTTGACTTGCAGTGTTGATCAGGTCATCTGGGTCTTTGCTGCCTTTGTGTTTGGTTGTTCTATCCATTATTAAAAGTGAGCATTGAAATCTCCTACTGTTATTGTATTGCTATCTATTTCTCCCTTAAGTTCATTCAATGTTTGTTTTATACATTTAGATACTCTGATGTTGGGTGCATATGTGTTTAAAATTGTTATATGCTCCAATGGTGAATTGACTCCTTTAACATTATGTAATGTTCTTCTTTTTTTCTTGTGACAATTTTTGACTTAAAGTCTATTTTTTATAATATCAGTAAAGGCATTTTTTGTTGTCTTTTAGTTATTATTTGGCAAGGGATTTTTGCAGTCTTCTTCAACCTTCATGCTAGTCCAACTGGTTTTCTTTTTTTCTTAGTAGATCACAGGCACCTAGAATATCCCGGGTCCTCTGAGTGTTCTGAGATAAACAGAGCTAGCTCCTCAGGCAATCTCCAGAAAATATGGATTATCAGATGTTTAGTTCAACTTTTTCCCCCAAGGAGACGCTGAGAGCTGAAGGCTTTGGTCCACTCACTCATGTTGATCCAAGGAGAGGAACTACAGTGCTAGGAAACTGCCAGCTCACCCCACCACCTATGTTCTTGCTGGTCCCGGGCAGCCAGGCTATGCTTGGTTCTATCAGTACACTGAGACAGGCTAGAGAGAAGCCAATCTTAGGAGTAGCCCCCGGAAAAATTGGGGAATTGGACATGCCATCCATCATTTATTAACCAAGAGCAAAGCTTGGAGCTGGGGAGTTTTTTCCTGCTTTTTTGGCACTGTGCTGGGGGTAAGAATTAGGGAAGGAGTGTGCCTTAGATTTCCCTAAAGCTTCAACATGAGTAGTTTCACCAACAGCTTTGGAGCATCTCAAGTGGTTTCTTAATGTCTCACAAAGAAAATTTGTCTATGAATTTTTAGTTGAATTGGTGGGCTTCCCATTCTGTTATCTTGCTAATTTTACTCCACCATGTTTTAAATAATTTACATATATAAAAATAAGATACATATTTATAATTTATGTGTACGTATATGTATATATTTTAAATTTAATATATATAAAAAACATTTGCTGTATTTCTAAATTGGAATACAATACAATGAAATGTAATTACATCTTAAATGGACAAAACATTACCACGCATAAATGGAAAACATTGTGGCTGGAGTTATCTCATGATGGAGAGAACAAATACTACTGTACACAATGCCATCAAACATCCTGTAGGAGCTATGATAAAACAATCCCATATAGGACTAAGTAGGCTTTCTGATATTTTCTACTCACCAACTGAGGTTTTCTCGATTCTTAGAAATGTTTCTAGCTATGATGCACATATATTGTAAAATCCAATGTAATATTTTTTCATACTTGGTTTTAATTGCTCCAACATGAAAATGGTTAGACTTGCATTTTTTTCAGCCAACATAGGTGACAGCTGTTTGTTAAAACACTAAATAAATTACATAGACAGGCTACAAGAAAGTACGCATGTACATTAAGAACACAGTCACCTGAGGTTAACACTTTAGAATTCTTACTTATTGAGAGCTTATAATAAGTCTTCCATAGAGCCTGTGACTGGTTTGAAGTATGAAACAGATTTCAGAGTAAGGATCTAAGAGAAAGGGCACTTTAACAAATAACAGTAGTAAATCCTCAGTTTCTCACATTGCAGAGACGGTTGCCTAATCCCAAATATCTCCCATCTCTCCCCCAAACTCATAAAATCAATAAGAAAAGCAAATAAAACCACATAATACCTTACTTTTCCAACATCTCTAGGAGACATAGAGTACCACAACCTTCAAATTACCTATAAATAGAGAAAAATAATTGCAGAAGAACACTTGCTCCTGCCCACCTCTGAACACCTGCGGTGGAGGGTAGGGAGATTAGTCTTTAACATGCTCAGAAGAGAAGACTAGAGGACATAAATGAATCATAGATACAATAAACCCTGAAAGATACAACTTCAACAATAAATGTCAGAGTACTTAACACAATTTGGGACTTGGTAGTTCATAGTACTGGGAAAAGGCTTGAAACGCAAGACCAGAAGTGGGAAACTTGGAAAGGAAAGCAATGGCTTCTGGGAGAGAAGTGGAAAATAAAGAAGGGGTGACACTTCTTACAAATATGACTATCAAAGTAAATAAGTAATTTGAGGAACTTAAGAATCCTGCAGAAAGGAAAGAGAAAAAAGACATGACTATCATTTGCCCCTCCTACTCCCATCATCACCACCACTCATAGAAGACGCTATGCTGAATAGGACAGAACTGACAGAGGAGGGAGCTCTCTAACTAGGATCCTTGTCCACGAAACAGGAATAGGAAAAATCAAACCATATTTATATGAAACCTCAAAAGTTCAAATAATATAAATAAAATATTTTTCTTATGAAAAGCCACTCACTCAAAAAAGGAAACAATCACTAAGCAGATGAAAAGTGCAATAAATGCCGCAAATTGAATTAGACACTCTAACACAATCATAAAAATAAGAACACAAATGTCCAAAAAAAAAAAAGTTGGTATGAAACAGTTGAACTGTGAGAGGTAATAGTATACCACAGTAAAATAATGAACAAAGATTTACAAGACAAATTGGTAGCAAAAAGAAAAGGATTGCAATCCTGATGCTAGACAAGAAGAAGTAGACATAAAAATAGAATTACTCAATTCTTATAATCAACTTTCACACCTAAATTGGGAGTTAGGATTTCAAATATGAATTTTGGGGGAACAGAAACATTCTGTCCAGAACATTCTACCCCTGGCAAAGTTTGTGTTCTTTTCGCCTGCATTTATTCTGTAAAAAGTAAAGTAGAGGTTGCTCTGCAAAGACTTTCCTCCCTATCTAATTAGGAATAAATAGTAGCTTCTCTTAGAAGCAAAATTTATTCAAAGACCTGTGCTCCTAAATATTTGTCCTGGCGTGCTTATACTGGTCCAAGCAAGCGTTAGGTCATAGCCTGTTCCTCTTCCTTATTTAAAAGTGTTTTTACCTTTCTCAGCATTCCACAAGTTACTTCCTCCTCCCTTTGTTCTCCTCTACCTTTGCCACTTTTAAAAAGTTCTAAGTTGCTAGCCAATCGGGATAAACACAGAATGCGAGGTCCTGCTCCAGCCAGTGGAAACCAGATACAGCAGTAGGGTGGATGCGACAGGTTATAAATGACCCTGTCTCCTTGGCTCGGTGTACACTCATGGCAAAACTGCTGGCGAGTGTACCCTTTCTGCAGGAAGTAAAAAATGGCCTTACTAAATAAATTAAATTTATGTTCAAGTGCTGTTTATAGCACCGGGAAACAAGCATTTCAAACAATTTGGAGGCAAACCGTTTGGGAATACATTCTCTTCCAGGGGTGCTCTCCAGTCCTCTCTCATGAGGGAACGCGCTCCCCTACCTCATTGAAGGGGCCCTCAATGAGACCCAATTGATGTGAAGAATAAAGAAATTGAGACCCAACTGGTGTGAAGAATAAACCCAGACTCTCAGCTACACAGAGAGGAAAAAAAAAAAAAAGAAAGAAAGAAACTGGCCAGCAATCTAGCTTAAAGGATCCTTACATACTGCGGTGATGACAACTCTGTGCACAGACCAAGAAAGAAGCAGCTGCGGGAGCCGGTAAAGTATTTCCCCGGTGATCGGGACTGAAAAAACAAAAACAAAAACAAAACAAAACAAAACAAAAAAAGGCCGCAGGACAGTAAAGCATTTCTTAGTTAGGACATACCGAGGAGAGAGAAACCGCAGGGGTGGTAAAGTATTCCTTAGTCAGGATGTCTTGGAGGTTAAAAATAGGTGAGAAATCCCCATAGGGGGAGTTGAACCTCAGAAAGAGGTGAGGAATCCCCATGTGTGTGTAGGCGGTTGGGGGCTGAACCTCACACAAGCCTCTGGTAGTAAGAAAAATATTCAGAACCCCCCCTTTCCTTTCTTCTTGGGGGAAGAAAGAATAGCTCCACTGCTGCGGGTCCCTCCCCTAGGGGAAGGGGAAGGAGAGGGGAAAACAGCAGCATAGGTGGTTGGCATGGAACAGGAATCAAAATAAATTTAAAAATGTGTAAGCAAAAACTCAGTTGTATGTAAGAAAACCCAATTCCCCCTGAGGAAGAGAAAGAGTTGGAGTCCTTTAAAAATTAGCTGCCTGTTTTTCTGTAGCTAGTGAGTCTTATCTCTCCCTTTCCCAGGCATTGTGAAGACCCGTTTCTCTAGCTGTGCAGCTGCAAGGTCACTAGACAGATAAACTCAAGTCGCAAAACATGCTTTTCCTTGAAAAGTAAGAAATGATGTGATGCAAGTCTCAATTGAATAACTGTCTTTGTTTCTTGTTTCTGTAATATGCTTCCACCTGCACAAATCTTCTCCCACCCACGAAATGCTTAAAAGGTAACTTGACTCTTTGTTCAGGGCTCAGTCCTTTGGATGTTAATCTGACTGGTCCAGTGCACCTAAATAATAAATATTCTCCTCAACCCCTTGGTCTCTCTGATTTCTTATCTATCGCACTACATTTCTGGGGGCTCACCCGGGATTGGAGATGACAGATTTACTGTCCCCTTTGCCTGCAGTTCTAGAGCCCCAGGGCCAGGGGAGACCCGGCATGCAAGGTGTGCTGCAGGTGAGCTTCACCCGGATGGAGATCGGCTCTCCCCATGTGCTGGCACCCTGACTGTCAGTGCAACGGGAGGGGGCTGCAGGACAATACCAGCACTTCAGGAACTGCGGTAAGGAGTAAAGGCCCAAGGCAGGAAAGCCCGTGCCATAGGGATGAAGAGGAGCTGGATCACCTCCCAGGGACCGACCACTAATCCAACCCAGAGGGGCTGGGGGCCGTAGAGGACACATTAAAAGTGGCAGCATGATCCCCAGAGGCAGGGAAGGCACTGCCCATGCTGTGTCTCTCTGCTATGGCCCTGCCCATGAGGCAATTTCCTGTGGAGGTGGGGGTTGCACTCTCAGGGATCTGCTGGGCTTCTCGCCCTTCACTGATCCCGCGGGTGTTGGTCCTACCTTTAGAAATTAAAACAGCACCCCTCCCCCAGTCCATCCACTCTGGGCTTATGGTGGGAGAGGCAGCCCTGGGGACATCTGAATTGCCTTTGGGATCTCTCTTTCTTTGTCCTGGAGAATCATGCATGTTTGCAGTGAAATTGTTCTATGGTCTGGTCCTGTGGACTCTAAGAAATCTGACAGTCGTTGGTCATTTTGTCCCGTTTTGTTTGTTTCCTTTAGTCTCAGTTGGCAGTGTTTCCGCTGGTGTAATCCCTTCTCTGTTCCTGGCTTTTATGGAGATGGTTGATCATCTTTACACAGTCCTCTGCATGCAGATGTATGTATTTGGAATCGAACAGTTTTCTATGTAGCCTTTAAAGCTTGAGGCATAGAGTGCACAGTCTCCCTTCTGCATTTCAATTATTGTTAGTCTAGAGGAGAGACAATTAAAAATTACAAACATGATTTTATTAATGCAGGAAAATAAAAATGAATCATACCTATTGAACTTCAAATATAGGAACTTAATACCATTTTAGGATATTTTAGGACCATGCCTAGTCCTAATTTATAAACAAAATATAGCCAACTCAGATAATAAAAGTAAAAATTGTAAATAATGTGCCACTCTTTTTATCATACATTGGAAACTAGTCAATTCTGAAGTATAAAATCTGTTCATATGTATACCCAAGTTAAATGAAAACTTTAAAATGTTTATTTTAAAACAAATATTTAAGTGAGAAATCAATTCAGAATTCAATTTAGAATTTCATACTGTGTTTTGTGGAAAAATAAAACATATTCTTCAGATATATGCAATTTTACTTGGTAAGGAAATGAAAATAAAACTTCAAATCTTCTAATACATACACACATTCACAAGCGTATATAAGTGTGTGTGTTTGTATGCATGCGTGCATGTGTTTAGGCATTTCATGTAGAGATTTCTATATCTATATATGTGTTTTACTCTGGCATCTTTAATCTTTTGGAATTACATGATTAATAATAACTTGTTTTCTTTCATAAGAGATGGGAAATAGAAAGTTCAAGAAAGAGTGAGGATGTCACTTCAATGTAAAACTGACAAAAAATAGAAATATTATGGTCTGATGCTATCCCTATTTAAAAGGACAATGTAATGACTTCTGTTCTGTAATTGAACAATCGACCACTGTAGGAAGAAAACTATTTTTAAAGAGTTTTTGCTTTGTTGTTTGTTTGTTTGTTTGCTTGTTTTTTAAGACAGAATCTTGCTCCACTGCCGAGGCTGGAGTGCACTGGTTTAATCTTGGTTCACTGCAAACTCTGCCTCCCAAGTTCAAGTGATTCTCCTGTCTCAGTTTCCTGAGTAGCTGAGATTACAGGCATGTGCCATCACATCCGGCTAATTTTTGTATTTCTAGTAGAGATGGGGTTTCACGATATTGGCCAGGCTGGGCATGAACTCCTGACCTAAAGCAATTCACCCACCTTGGCCTCCCAAAGTGCTGGGACTACAGGTGTGAGCCACTGCACCCGGCCCCAGACTAGATTTTTTAATAACTGCTCTTACTAGGTTCAGTCTACATTAGAGTCCCTTTGGTTGCCCTCCTGCCGCGTCCGCTTCCTGCCTCTCCACTCTCCCCTCCCTCCCTCCTCCTTCCTTCCTCCTCCTTCCTTCTTCCTTCCTTCTTCCTTCTTCCTTCTTCTTTCCTTCCTTCTTCTTTTTCCTTCCATTCTTCATTCCCTCCCTCCCTCCCTCCCTCCTTCCTTCCTTCCTTCCTTCCTTCCTTCCTTCCTTCCTTCCTTCCTTCCTTCTTCTTGACAGTGTTTTGCTCTTATAGCCAGCCTGGAGTGCAGTGGCACAACCTCATCTCACTGCAACCTCCGCCTCCTGGGTTCAAGCAATTCTCCTACCTCAGCCTCGTGAGTAGCTGGGATTACAGGTGCCTGCCACCACAACCGGCTATTTTTTGTATTTTCAGTAGAGATAGGTTTTGCCATGTTGGCCAAGCTGGTCTTGACCTCCTAACCTCAGGTAGTCTCCCTGCCTTGGCCTCCCAAAGTGCTGGATTACAGGCATGAGCCACTCCACTCGGCCTTGTTCTTTTCAATATCACTTTGTCCGTGTGTTCCTTCAATTTCTGTGTGTGTTTTTTCATACTACTTTCATCACACTTCTGCCAGAGTACCTAACAACACTGGATTATTTGCTTACAACTACATCTCTGACTAGAGTTTGAAGCTCCTAAATGAGTTTTATTCTACTCATCTCTGTAGTTTTCTCTGCATACTTCCTGGAAATTGTGTAGCAGTCAACAAATAATTACTACATGCATAAACAGAAAGTTAGTATGCCAGTCGTTTTGCTTCTGAAAGAAAGTTTTGTCCTTGTAGATAGGAAAATATTGAGAAAATATGATACAAACTCTTATTTTTTTTTTAGAGAATCAATGTTTTTTCTGTTAAAAATAAACTTGCAAACCATACATAAATGAGGACGTTGTGTATCAATTCTAAGGTATACTGGGGCTTCCTAATTATAAACAGATAATGAGGAAGGAAGGTAAGGTGTTCTTGCTACAATAAACACAAAGGGAAAGTTGAAAAGAATACATGAGAGTAAAAGGTTGTGCATTGATCATTGTCAATTAATCATTAAAGTAGCAAAGTAAATTTGAAAATCAATGAAAAGAACACTTTAAAAAAGTGCCAGACTTACTATACAAAATAATTCTCTAATAAAATTGAAATTAAATTAGAAATCAACAATAAAAATATGTCTGAAAAATTCACAAATGTTGAAAACTAAATGACACATGTTAAAAATCAATGAATCAAAGAATGCAAAAGACAGTTTAGAAACTATTTTTAACTGAATGGAAATTAAAAAATAGTATCTTAAAATATGTGGGGATGTTGCCAAATCATCTCACGTATTAATAGTATAACTTTTATTAGAAAAAAAGTTTCCAATCAACATATCAGCTTTCAATATAAGAAACTAAAAAAGCAAATTTAACCTACTATAAGAAGACAGTAAATAATAAAGATCAAAGCAGAAATCAGTGAGAAGAAAATTTTTACCTCAGTGGCAAATAAGCACAAAAAAATGCTACTTAACATCATTGCATTAGTAAAATACAAGTTAAAACTACACTCATATACCAAAACACATCATTTAGTGTGTCTAAAATTTACTTATTTATTTATTTATTTCTGAGATAGGGTCTCGCTCTGTCACTGAGGCTGGAGTGCAGTGGTGCAATCTCGGCTCACTGCAACCTCCGCCTCCCAGCTTCAAGCGATTCTCCTGCCTCAGCCTCCTGACTAGCTGGGATTACAGGTGCCTGCCACCTCGTCCAGCTAATTTTTGTATTTTTAGTAGAGACAGCGTTTCACTACATTGGCCAGGTTGGTCTCGAACTCACAACCTCAGGTGATCTGCCTGCCCCAGCCTCCCAAAGTGCTGGGATTATAGGCATAAGCCACTGCGCCCAACCGGTATAACATTTAAGAGGCTAATCAAAGCAAGTGTTGACTAGGATATGAAGCAACTTCTCTCTCAGATTTTCTCTTACATACAGATAGGTAGAAAGTAAAATTTGTAAAATATCACCACCACTTTGGATAACAGTGTGGCACTTTTAAAAAGGTTAAATATATACTTATATGATTCAGCCATTTTGTTTCTAGGTGTTTATATTAAGGAAAAGAAAGACTTTGTTAATATGATACAAATACTTGTACACAAATATTATTAGCAAGTAGCATTATTTGTAATGATCAATAACTGGGAATTACCTAAATATACATCAATAAATGAAGAGATAAAAGGTAATTAACTCTTTACTCATGCAATGAGATGGCTGAATCTCAAGACAACTTTTCTAAGTGAAAATAAGACTTTGCAAATGATACATATTGTAGGACTTCATTTATATTAAATTCTATGAATTGCAAACTAAAGTGGCAGAAAACTGATTGACTGGAAAGAGAAAGAGGTAAGTACGTAGGGACACAGAGGAGAAATCACAAAGGTGCATGCCTAGAGAATGTTTTCCAGGTTAATTATCTTGATGTTCTTAATGGTTTCATGAGTGTATATATATATATTTCTTGAGACTTGTTAAATTGTGTACTTTATATATGTGCAATTTATTATGTTAATTATATCTCAACATGTCTGGTAATAAATTCAGAAAGAAATGTATGTGATACTTAACCTCTCTGCTTCTGTCTCTTTATCTGTAAAACGAACATAATATTAGACCTGCCTTGCATAGTACTTACCATATACTAAACAATTTATATTACTTACTAGTATTTGTGTTGGCTACTCTACAATGAATACAACTTTCTCCTAAATTTAGGGCCTAAGCACTTTTTAGTAAATCTATTAGAACGTGCAAATGTCTTGGGATTATGTGAAATGAGTGATTAGAATTATTACAGGGAAAGCTTAGGAAAAAAATTCAAAACTAGAGACCCATTGGGTCAAAGACTTACAGGTTGGGTGAGAGAATGGAGCCATCTTCCCACTGCCAAGATCCATTTGTTGGAATGTGCACTAATCCCATCCAGTGATATGACTTCACCAGTTTAAGTAAATCCTGTTTGAAATCACAAATACACTGTAAGTAAAATCAGTGTTCATAATTTTAGTAAACGCAAGACCATAGCCATTTCATCTGTTCTCACACTTGTAAAAACATGCATTCTGCCCCCCAACTAGCATAATTCCCATCTGAGCACACATACATGATACCTGCAATTTCTTTTTTTTTTTTAATTATACTTTAAGTTCTAGGGTACATGTGCACAACGTGCAGGTTTGTTACATGTGTATACATGTGCCATGTTGGTGTGCTGCACCCATCAACTCATCAGCACCCATCAACTCGTCATTTACATCAGTTATAACTCCCAATGCCATTCCTCCCCACTGCCCCCTCCCCATAATAGGCCCCGGTGCGTGATGTTCCCCTTCCTGTGTCTAAGGGATCTCATTGTTCAGTTCCCACCTATGAGTGAGAACATGAGGTATTTGGTCTTCTGTTCTTGCAATAGTTTGCTGAGAATGATGGTTTCCAGCTGCATCCATGTCCCTACAAAGGACATGAATTCATCCTTTTTTATGGCTGCATAGTATTCCATGGTGTATATGTGCCACATTTTCTTATCCAGTCTGTCACTGATGGACATTCCAACATTCCATCAGTGGAATGTTGATTCCAAGTCTTTACTATTGTGAATAGTGCTGCAATAAACATACATGTGCGTGTGTCTTTATAGCAGCATGATTTAGAATCCTTTGGGTATATACCCAGTAATGCGATGGCTGGGTCATATGGTATTTCTAGTTCTAGATCCTTGAGGAATCGCCATACTGTTTTCCACAATGATTCAACTAGTTTACAATCCCACCAACAGTGTAAAAGTGTTCCTATTTCTCCACATCCTCTCCAGCACTTGTTGTTTCCTGACTTTTTAATGATTGCCATTCTAACTGGTGTGAGATGGTATCTCATTGTGGTTTTGATTTGCATTTCTCTGATGGCCAGTGATGACGAGCATTTTTTCATGTGTCTGATACCTGCAATTTCTATGCTTTGTTATTTTCAATGAAGAAAGATTTAGGGTTGGTATTAGAATAACCAAGTCATAGTGTCCCTTATATGTTCCAGGTTCATATTCCAATGATTTGCCTCAGATGTTAGGATTAAATATAGGATGGGAAATTAAAATAAATACTCAACCTGGTCCTCTTTGCTGTATACTTTCAGAAGGCTGGCATTTTGAGACATACAAGAAGCCTGGCTCTCATACCAGTTTTTACTCTCATTAAAAAACTGGTAGCAGTTATTTCTATAACATATCCAGTTTTTAGGACATGGGCCACAGTAACTTTCTAGAAAAGGAGAATATATTATTAATTCTACACATCTGAACATTATAGCAGATTTTATCTATACAAATTAAATGTCTTTTTCACTCCAACTCTAAAATTTCAGATTATTAAATTATCATAGTCATAACCAAAGGCATATCTCTACGTATTCATAGAGAGATGCCAGGCTGGGCGTGGTGTCTCATGCCTGTAATCCTAGCGCTTTGGGAGGCCAAGGCAGACGACTCACTTGAGGTTAGAAGTTTGATACCAGCCTGGCCAACATGGTGAAAACCTGCCTCTACTAAAAATACAAAAATCAGCCGGTGTGGTGGCACATGCCTGCAGTCCCAACTACTTGGGAAGCTGAGGCACGAGAATTGCTCGAGCCCAGGAGGTGGAGGTTGCAGTCCCAAGTACTTGGGAGGCTGAGGCATGAGAATCACTTGAAACCGGGAGGTGGAGGTTGTACTGTGCTGAGATCACCCCACTGCACTCCAGCCTGGGTGACAGAGTGAGACCCCATCTCAGACAAAAAAAAAAAAAAAAAAAGAGAGAGAGAGAAAGATGTCAAACCACACCTAAGTAGCCTCTATTTTTTACAAGTATTGGAGAAAAAGAGAGAGAGAGAGAAAGATATCAAACCTAAGCATCCTCTACTTTTACAAGTATTCCCTCACTGTTAAAAGGAAAACAGAAGCCATAGTGTATTACAGACTAGAATTAATTATTTAATTTTTCCTTTTCTTACATCATTGAATACATGCCTACACAATAGTGTAGGTAGATACATATAATATATGTTCTAAAACATTTAAAAAATTCACTTACCAGTCAAGGGAATTTGAACTTCTTGGTTGAATAATGCTATTAAAATAACCATAAGTATTAAAAAGTTTGTATTGTTAGTAATTTATACTATAAGCAAATATAGTTTACACATTTCTGGACTAATAGCAAAAATATGACAAAGATACATTTAATATTTCTAGTTTATGTTTCTGTGTTTCTGAATACTAACAAAAGTAATACATTACAATTGTTAAATTAACAATGTTGCAATCTACTTCTCTGTTATCACTTACAATTTAGGAATACGGCACTCCATATTGTTACCATAATAATGAAACGGATTCCCATAGCTACAGCAATGAAACAGCAGAAAAAAAGTGGAGATGCTGTCAAAGAAAAAAGAGACAGATCAGAAAAAGAAGCATAAAGGGTTTGGGTATCTTTGTATTTAATATAAATATTAGAGGTTTTTTTCTTTCTTTAATGAGAAGGTAGTATTGATCCTTTTTCTGCCTTAATTATTTTTCCCAGAACAGAGCATAAATATTTTGCAAATGATCAAAAACTAGAGTACAACAATGTAATATTTCCTTCTATACTTCTCTACAAGTTCTCCAGTCATCCCTAGAGTAAATTATGCTTATGATTTATTATTTTTATGCAGATACAATAATAAACATAAACAAAGAAGGAGGAAGCATCATCAAGATGGCTAACTGCAGGCACCCAGCACTCACTTCCACAAGGGACCAAAACAACAAGTAGATAACCACATGTTGAGTAGAGTGTTGAAGGAAGAAGGCTGGAATTCAGCAAGAAAGTGACCAAGTCTCTCTGAGGCACAGATGCTCAGGGCGATAGCATAGAAAGGGAAGAGAAGCAGGTGACATGGATCAGCTTAGAGCCAAGAGGGACTCTCCATTGAGGAGAAAAGGTAAGCAGGAGCTCCCCAGGGGTCCACATTCCCATTATAAATACCTGCTATCCTAGCTATAGGAGAGCTCCACATTCCTCACAATCCCTGAGTCCAGTATAGGGAGTTGACTGGAATCCACATCACTGCATTATTTCAGGGTGGGAGTTCACACTGGGGTCCCTCCTCTTCTCTGGAACACAGGCTGCAGCAGCACTGCACCATTTTGAGAGTGTAGCCACCACCAAAGTACACTCTGCCCTGGGGCCTAATAGTTCCTTTATCTTCACATCTTTGGGGCCCAATAGCTTCTGCATCTTCACATCCCTGGGCCCCTGCTGACATTCCACCAAATCCACCTAGAGGACTGCAGCATAGCAACACCAGGTGATCCCAATCAATGGTGTAGTCGTGACCCTTGCATCAAGCCCATACAGAACCCTTTGTCCAGGGAACAGGTGATGCAGCCAAGTAGAGAGTCTGTCCTCTGCATAGACAGTCATGCATGTGCACCCCAGATTCCCAGAGCCAGTTGCTTGGGGCCCACGGCCACCACGGCCAGCAATCCCACTTTCTCCAGCAGCAGGCCAGAAGAGCATGGGATGATAAATTCAAAATGCAAAAAAAAAAAAAAAAAAAAAAAAAAAAAAAAACCTCTGCCAAATAAGAATACTGTATTAAGCAAAGCTATCCTTTAGAAATAAAGGAGACATATTCTTCCAGACGAGCAAAAACTGAGGGAATTCATCACCACTAGACTAGCCCCACAAGAGATGCTTAAGGGAGTCCTATATCTGGAAGCAAAAGGACAATATCTATCACCATAAAAATGCACAGAAGTATAAAACTGGTAGAGCAGATACACAAATAAGAAAGAGAAAGGAATCAAATCTTATTACTACAGAGAACCACCAAACCACAAAGATAGATAATGATAGAGGAGAAAAAAAATCAATGAGTAGGTGAAACAACAGGTATACCGGAGAACAATGAAGAAAATGACAGAAGAGCAAGCTGGCTGTGAAGAACCCTTTAGCTACTATCTTCTCACAGCAACATCAAACTAAATAACTATCCATGCAAGAAAGTACCTTCAAAAGAATTCAAGAAATTAGGTGAGCTATCACAGTACCCTGATTTTGGCATGATAAGAAGAAAAAACACATTAAATAGGTAAGAAAAGACCGTCTTGCCTTGCCTAAACACCCCTCTTCCAAACCCAGATACTGCAGTGCTTGGAGAGAAACTGCCTGCTTGGGAAATGGAAATAAGAGTGTGGGACTTTGTGTTGGAACTTAGACCTGGCCCCACCACATTGGAACACAGCAAAAGACAGAGACCCCACGGCCTTTGATTCCACACCAGTGCTCATACGGGCAGCATTTTGACCCACGTGGGCCAGAGAGGAATCCACTGCTTAGGCAGGAGGAACCTTAGTCTCAGCCCATTTTATCACCAGCTGACTAAAGTGGCCTTGGGTCTCAGGAAAATTTCAGTGGTTGCAGGCCATAGCAACCATGGCTCTTGGGCAAGCCCTGGCACAGCACTGGTCTGGGAAGCTGTGGACAAACAGAAAACTTACCAAACCTAGAGAAAGATATGAATAAGCACATACAGGAAGGTCAAAGATTAGCAAGCAGATTCAACCCAAATAAGATTACCACAAGGCATATAAAATTTAAATGTTCAAAGCTTGAGATAAAGTCAGAATTTTAAAGGAAGCAAAATTTAAAAAGCAAAATAAATATAAAGAAGCTTCAACACATCTGTTAGCAGACTTCTTAGCAGAAACTTTATAGGCCAAGAGGAAGTAGGGTGACATACTCAAAGACCCGAGGAAAAAAAAACACCAACTGAGATACTGTACCCAACAAAACTATCAACATGACGGAGAGAAAAAATATTTCTCAGACAAACAAAAGTTGAGTGAATTTATTCCCACTAGACCTGTCTTACATGACATGCTAAAGAGAGTTTTTTCAGTCAGAAAAAAAGAACATAAATGTGCAATAAGAAAAGATTTGAAGGTATAAAACTCACTGATAAAAGTAAGTACACAGACAAATTCAGAATATTCTAATACTGCAATTGTGGTGCCTCAACCACACAGATCTTCTAAAGATCAAAAGACAACTCTATCAAAATAAAAGTAATTATAATTTGTTAAGAGATAGTCAATATAAAATGATGTAAATCCATGCAAACATAAGTCAACATGTGAGAGGAGATGGAGTTAAAGTGTAGAGTTGTTTAGGTTTTGTTTTGTTTTGTTTTTCTTTTCTTCATGATCAAAGTTAAGTTGTCATCAGTATAAAATAATTGCTATAGTTATAAGATGTCCTTGTAAGTCTCATGGTAACGACAAAACAAAAACCTATAATAGATACACTAAAATGAAAATCAAGGAATTAAAATACACTGCCAGAGAAAGCAACTTAATCACAAAGGAAGACAGGAAGAAAGGAAGACTTACAAAACTACTAGAAAACAAGGAACAAAATGGCAATAGTAAGTTTTTACTTACCAATAATAATATTAAATGCAAGGGAGCTAAATTCTCCAAGTAAAAGACAACAAAACTGAACAATATATTGCCTTCAAGAAACTCACTTTGCTCATAAAAACACACATAGACTGACAGTATAGGATGAAAACAGATATTCCATGAAAATGAAAACCAGTAAAGAGAAGGCATAGCTATACTTAGATAAAGTAGACTTTAAGTCAAAAAGAGTAAAAAAGAGTCAAAGAAGACCATTATATAATGACAAATGGGTCATTTCAGCAATATAATATTGTATTTATAAGTATACATATGCACCCAATACTGCAGCACTCAGATATATTAAGTAAATATTAATAGATCTGAAGGGAGAAATAGACTAATACAATAAGGGTAGAGGAGTTCAACCACACATTTTAAGCAATGGACAGATCGTTCAGAGAGAAAATTAGCAAAGAAACATCCAAGTAAAACTATAATATAGACCTAATGAACCTTACTAAATGTACAGAACATTTCATCCAACTGCTGCAAAACACATATTCTTATTATCATCATATGGAACATTCATCAGGATAGACCATATGCTAGGTGATAAGTCTCAACACATTTTCAAAATTCAATATTATATCAAGTAAATTTTCTGACAACAATGGAATAAAACTAGAAATTGATAACAAGAGGAACTTTGGAAACTGCACAGATACATGAAAATTAAACAAAATGCTTTTGAACAAATAAACAAATTCAGTAAAGTTTCAGGATACAAAAATCTACATACAAAAATCAGTAGTGTTTCTATACACCAATAACAAACTGGCTGAAAAAGAAATTAAGAAGTCAATTCCATTTATACCTACAAATAATAAAATACCCTGAAATGAATTTAATCACACAAGTGGAAGATCTCTACAATGAAAACTATAAAATACTGATTAATGAAACCAGAGAGGATGCAAAAACATGGAAAGACATCTGACGTTCATAGACTGAAAGAATATTGTTAAAGTAATTATATGACTCAAAGCAATCTATAGATTCAATGCAATTCCTATCACAATACTAATAACATTCTCTACAGAAATAGAAAAAATATCCTAAAATTTGTATGGTACCACAAAAGACTGAATAGTCAAAGCAATCTTGAACAAAAATGAAGAAAACTGGTGGCATCACATTACCTGATTTCAATATATACTACAAAACTATAATAACTTAAACAGTATGGCATTGACATAAAACTAGACATTTAGACCAATAAAACAGAATAGACAATGCAGGAATAAATCCATCTATTTACAGCCAACTGATTTTTCCAGAAAGGCACCAATAACATACACTGGGAAAGGACAGGCACTTCAATAAATGGAGCTGAAAAAACTGGATATCCACACAGAGAAATGAAATTAGACCCTCATCTCACACTATATACAAAAATCAACTCAAAATGGATTAATGACTTAAAGGTAAGAACTGAATCTACAAAACTACTAGAAGAGATAAGAGAAACACCACAGGACATGAGTCTAGGCAAAGATTTTATGGATAAGACTTCAAAAGTACAGGCAACAAAAGCAAAAAGAAACAAATGAGGCTGTATCAAACTAAAACACTTCTTTACTGCATAGGAAACAAGTGACAGAGTGAAGAGACAACTTGTAGAATGAGAGAAAATACTTGCAAATTATTCCTCTGACAAGAGAACAATATCCAGAATATACAAGGAATTCAAACAACTCAACAGCATCATCAACAACAAAAACTGATTTGAAAATGAGAAAAGGATCTGAATAGATATTTCTGAGAAGATAAACAAATAGCCATGGATATATTTTTTGAAAGTTCAACATCATTCATCATCAATAAGATGAAAATCAAAACCACAATGAGTATCATCTCACCCTAAGTTAGAATAGCTATTATTTAAAAAAACAAAAAATAACAAATGACAGTGAGGATGCAGGGAAAGGCTAATGTTTATATAATGTTGGTGGGAATGTAAATTAGTATAGCCATTATGGAAACAGTATAGAGGTTCCTTAAAAAACCAAAAATAGAAATCAGTATATTGAAATAATGTCTGCAGCCCCATATCTATTGCAGCATTATTCACAATAGCCAAGATATGGAATCAACCTGTGTCCATTAACAGATGAATGGCTAAACAAAATGTGTGTACACACACACACACAGAATAATACCATTCAGTCATAAAAAAAGAATGAAAAGAATGAAATCCTATTATTTGCACCAACATGGATGCGTCAGAAGTACATAATGTTAAGTAAAGTAAATAAGGCATAGAAAGATAAATACTGCGTATTCTCACTCATATGTAGGAGATCCAAACTTTTAGCTCAGAGAATTAGAGAGTAGAATTGTGGTTATTTAAGGCTAGAAAGAATAGTGAGGAGGAGAAGATTGGGAGAGGTTAATGGATACATAATTACAGCTACATGTGGGCTTTTTCTAGTGTTCCTATAGCACTGTAGGGAGTATACAGTTAAGAGTAATTTATTGTATATTTTCAGATAGCTAGAAGAGGTTTTGAATGTTCCCAACACAAAGAACTGATAAATATTTGAGGTGATGGATATGCTAATTACCTTGATTTGGTCATTAGACATTGTATAGTTGTATGGAAATATCACTGTATCCCTTAAATATGTATAATTATTACATGCCAACTAGAAATAAATAAAAATTACCATTCCCCTTAGCTACATATTAAAAATACATTTTAAAGAAACTATAATATACAAAATATCCTATGAATTTTTATTTTTATTTTTTAACCTAAGACAATATCCTGGTGATTAGTTCTCATGGCGTTTAAGGATACCAAATTTATAAATAGCTGCATTGTATTTCACTGACAACTCTGGACAGAATCTAATTTTTGACAGACTTTGAATTTTTTTCCAGTGGATATTTAATTTGTTTCTTAGGTGTTGCTATTAGAAATAATGATACATTTCATACCCATCTGTGCATATTTTTGAGTCCCTCTCTGGGATAAATTCCCACAATGATAATTGCTGAGTGAAAAGGCATGTGGGTTTAAAATTTTGGTAACAATTGAATATTTTAGTCCAAAAAGGAATTTTTACATATAGCACTTTGCATTCCTTAAATTAATTCTTGTAAAGTGATGCTATTCGTTAATAATTTGTTTCTTAGTTTTTAATCAAAATTGAGGGGTCACCTGTTGTTTTGCTTTTCATACAAACTATATAAAGCTCTATTATCAATAATATTCTGCTTTGAAAAAAGACATTGGAGAGTACATCTTCTTCACTGCAGTCAGAAACAATTCTATAAATAATAATCTAGCTATCACTTCTATAATATTTAGGAACATATCTCTGGAGGATTTTTAAGATATCTTTTCTGTTTTTCATTTCTATTTAGTTTTCTTTTCAGTAATCTCTTAGAAATTCCTGCCTCAATTATATTATCATGATAAATAAAGTCATCATTTTTTAGGCCATGAAAATATTCTAAACTCAATAGCTTTTAATACTATAATTTTATTATATATTTTAATATTATATTAGAGTTCATGGGGGTATTCCTGCTTTCCTGATGAAGATAAAGTAAACTGAATGATTGTCATTGATTTAATCACATAGTTTCCAAGATTCATTTGAATATACTGAGAGTAGACAAATGGAACATAGGACTTACCGTTTTCTCTACATTTGCTTTTGATTACTGGACATCTTTGCTTTTGACATCGTGTTGAAAAATCACTCTTTGCTAGACCCAACTTATAATTATGAAATTCACTCATCTCTAGAGAGAAAGAATTCAGGCTTATATGAGTCATGGCCTTTCTGCTATTTGGTGCATACATTTTAAAAATTCCACTTGCCATTTCCATCTATGTACTTCTCATGACAATCCTTTTTAAAGCACAACATGAATTTATTTTCATTTTATATTACTACATTATTATGTTTACACTTTACTATATAAATAAAATTACATTTATGCCATGCAAAGTACCCTCAGCAAATCCTAACTAATTTTAACTATTAAAATTAGTTAATTTGTAATGTATAATGAAACCTAACATTACCAGAAAGGGACTTGGTATAGTGAAAAGACATGTCGGAGAAAGACATGTATTTAAATCACCTATCCACATATACAAACTTAATATAACTTCATAAATAATCTAGCTGTTGCATCCCAGTTTCCTAACTTGCAAAAGAAGAAAGAAATAAAAAAGAAAAGGATACTATTACAACCCAGTATGGGTATTTTAAAAATGAAATAAAAATATAAGGAACTTAACATCAATAACATCAATCATTTAGTCAGCTTTTAGTAAATACTAGTGTGTCTAATTTTCTTTTATTTATTTATTTATTATTTTTTATTTTTTGAGATAGAGTTTCGCTCTTGTAGCCCAGGCTGGAATGCAGTGGCGTGATCCTGGCTCATTGCAACCTCCACCTCCTGGATTCAAGCGATTCTCCTGCCTCAGCCTCCTGAGTAGCTGGGATTACGGGCTTGTGCCACCATACCTGGCTAATTTTTTTATTTTTAGTACGGACGGGGGTTCATCATATTGGCCAGGCTGGTCTCGAACTCCTGAGCTCAGGTGACCCACCTGCCTCGGCCTCCCAAAGTTCTGGGATTACAGGCGTGAGCCACTGTGCCCAGCCGTCTAATTTTCTTTATAATGAAGGACATACATAGGCTAAAATAGTAGGATCTAACCCTTTAGAACAAAGACAGATAATCTTGCCGCTGAACAAAATACTGAAAGAATCATTTTGCTCTCTTGAAATATTAATTATTTACTGATGATTAATATTTTCTTAAAAGCTTTTTTTAAAACTTTTATTTTTGGTTCAGGGTCGTATGCAAAGGTTTGTTACATATGTAAACTCATGTCATGGGGGTTTGTTGTACAAAAGCCTTTTATAAATTAAATGATAATATGAATTATCTTTTATAGCTAAAATTAGACTTAGACATTGTTTGCACATGTAATATCTAACTCAGTTATTTTACATATGGAGTAAAGAGAGTAGGTATCACTTTATGGATGAAGAAACTGAATATTAGAGATGGCCAAAATCATAAAGCTTATTTAATATAATGTTACCAACTGTGAATAAGTTATAAATGTATAAACACCTTTAGGATAAAAAGGGCTTTAAAATACATGTCACTTGATTTGAATATTACACAAATCTACTAAGATCAATATGGAATGTTTCATGCCTGTATTTGATAGAAAAAGAAACTAAACTAAACTACATAGAGGTTGCAGATTGACCCCATTTCAAATCTAGAGAGCGGTAAAAGTTTGAGTAAAATTCAAGTATGACTCCACATCTGTTTCACTATTTCAAGCTGGCCCAAATTGTGACTTTACCATAATATAGTTAATAAAATAAAGGGAAAAAAAGTTTTTAAGTTTTGGAATACTTGATTTCACATACAATACGGACGTAACATGAAATTAACATAAATAGAACATGAAAAGAATCAGAGTAAATTGCTTGCCTATGTCTTATATGCTTGTATAAAATTCTTGGTATCTTAAAATTGTATACAAACAAAACTACACACTTATGTGGTGAAAACATACCCAAGCTGTGTCGAGGCCTCCGACCACGAATCCACCCCATCAAATAATTGTAAGTGCACGTCTACCTCAGAGAGGAATCTGAAGTCTTCAAAGCACAAAGGATTCCTGAATAAAATAAAATTGAGTATTTGTTTTTTGTTCTCTTTCCTGTGGTGAGAGAAAATATTTTGAATAGAAAAGTAAAATGCAGAAACTTTCCCCCTGTGCATGCCCCTAAGAAAAGAATAGAAATGACAATTCATATAAAGCCAGGCAAAAATAATTGTATATATATCTCTTGGTTGTAAAATAATCGCCAATTACTTCAAAATGTCATAACAATATAATGAATATATTAATTCACCTACATTGAGATATTTAACACAAATATTTTACATTACTGATATTAGATAACAGCACACACAGTTTTCTGTTTATAGTTATTTATTGCTTCTTGGCCTTTTAGCTAAGACCAAGTGTTTATAGTTGTTTATTTTATCTGGCAATAATTTAGTTTTCTTTCTGCTAGCTAAACTCAGGTAAGTTTTATGCACTTTTATTGGATGTCGTTTTCTAGTGCATTTTCATCCAACGTGCCCGTATCATCATCACCAACAACAAATTCTCATCACCATCATCATTAATAAAACTAATCTCACATGTTTATTTAGTAACATCTTAGCAATGCACAGCAGAGCTTCCAGAAAAAAAAACTAATAAATATGCATAGTGCTTAGACTTTAAAAATAAAAGCTATTTCATATTTGATTATGATAGTTGGAAAGCACAGATATAACTTGTTTCACCTTGCATGTAAAGATGTGTATCAAAGGTAAGTGCCCCTTACAACATCAGAAAACTCAAAAATTTGAGAATTCAAATTGAAACTCAATTCTTCTAATCCTAAAGGTAAAGATTCAATTTTTTCTAGTTTTGCTTAGAGACAAAGCTTCTTCTTATAGTAATATTACATCTTCTAATTCTTTAATAGGTATATACTAATTCCCTATCATCAGATACAGTGATAGAATATACATCAGAAATGATAAGTATTCTGTATCCTCAGGAGTTCTATTCAAGCATCTAAGAAGCAATTAGAATTACCTTACAGTGTAAATATTTTTATTTTTTTGAGGTCGAAATATAGTTTCTCATATCTTGAATAATAAACACACACACATACACACATACACACACCTGCTCAGAGAGGGAAGATCTTGATTCTTGTGGATAAAAGTCTTCTATAAAACTAGAAAATTTAGATATGTTCTCAGTTCCTGATCTAGAATTGAAAGTGGAGATACTCAGTGAAATTCTATCTTTGAGAAAGGTGTGACAAATGTTATAATCTCACCTTCCTGTGGAAAAACATAAACCACAGTACTTCCGCCTTATCACTATAGAAATATTGTTAATTTGGTAAAAGAGGTAAGACCACCCATGGTTGGATAAATGTTCACTTGGTGCAAAAGTAATTTTAGTTTTGCCATTATTTTTAATAACATTTTAGGATTTGAAAATGATGATTTTAAATGATGCCATTTAATCCTAAATATTTTAAAGATTCAATTCAGTTCCAGTTAATACCTCAGATTTTGTTGTGGGACTTACAAAGCAGAATTCTAAATATACATTAAATTGCAAAAGTCAAGACTAGGAAAATCACTATTGAAGATGAAGAAAACGTGGCAGCCTTGTTTTATTAGATAGTAAGACCTATGTTAAAACCATATTAATAAAGGCAAAGTGGCATGTGGGACATAGATTGACAAATTGAGAAGGGAAAAAATACAGACAAGAAAAAGTCATGTACATAGATTAAAAAATATAAGGTAACATTGCAGATAAAGTGGGAAATTAGCTTCTATTCAATAATTAGTGCTTGGTTACTATCACACTGGCCTTTAAGTTAAAAAAAACTTAGTTCTGGGAATTGTTAAATTTTAATATAAAAACATGAAATTGCATCTCTGTCATATAGACATCATATGCAGAAGAATTAGAAACTTAAATATATACCCCAGTATACATAAAAATAAGTGAATATATGAATTGATGCCAATGAACAAGATTAGCTAAATATGTATTTTATTTGTTTATTAATTTAAAATACTAACATAAGACATCATATAAAGTAATATAAGATGAACACATTATACAATTTTAACAATAACCAAAGTTATTAATCTCAAAAACAACTTTCATGTGGTAATGTGTTAAAGTTGGACAATAAATTTATTCAACTTTTTTTTTTATTTAGCAAATACTATTTGCTACACCCTTTTCTAGGTCTTGAGAATGTCAAAGTAAACAATCCAAAAGAAGGTTTTTGCCCACATGGAAATTACTTTTTTTTTTTTTTTAAAGACGGAGTTTCACTCTTGTTGTCCAGGCTGGAGTGCAATGGGAGATCTCGGTTCACTGCAACCTCTGCCTCCTGGGTTCAAGCAATTCTCCTGTCTCAGCCTCCAGAGTAACTGGGATTACAGGCATGTGTCACCACACTTGGCTAATTTTTGTATTTCGAGTAGAGACGAGGTTTCGCCATGTTAGTCAGGCTGGTCTCGAACTCCTAACCTCAGGTGATCCTCCTGCCTCGGCCTCCCAAAGTGCTGAGATTACAGGCGTGAGCCACCACACCCAGCTGGAAATTACTTTTTAATTTAGGTGATAGAAAATGAAAAAGTACAAAACAAATTCAAAATTAAACAGGATAGGTAAATATAAAACAAGTTGAAGAAAATATATTATTTTCTGACATACCAAGATTCTTTTCAGCTAATCAGCATTTTCTATTAACTATTTTATATAGTAAAAATAGATCTATATAGAGGAAATTTGGGCTGATATTTTCTTACAACCACATTTTAACAAATATTTGGTTTTTGAAAGGAAATGAATAAATGTTTAAATGCTGGCTTTTTATGGGGAAAACTTGAATCACAGTTTCCTGAAGAGTTATTTTTATGTATATAGTTTTCAATTGAATAGAGATTATTTGTCTCTTAAATACAGAATTGAGAAAAGGGGATAGGAATAGGTTAAAAAAGAACATTTGTATATCCTACTATTTCATTTAGTTCAAATGTCAATTTACAGCCAACAAGGAAGTCACAAAACATGCCTAAAAGAAGTTTTTTGAAATAAATACCATGATAAAGCTAAGCACCAGGAGAGTTATATTGTCATATATAAAGAACCCTAAACCAACTGACAGAGTGTGGAAAGGATCCTCAAAGAAGAAAATTCTAAAATAAGTCCTGTATGTTGAGTTAAAACAATTACTTAGATAAAGAAATAGTATGTTAAAACTCCAATTTATTTCTCAATGTTGAACATATACTCACTTTGCTATAGTCATCATGGTAAACTTGTTGGGGATTTGCTGGGCGCTTGTACTGGTTTGCGCTACGTGGAATTGCAAAAGGACATAGCATAGCTTTCAGAGATAATATTTTCTAATAAATGAAATAAAACCCACACAAATGAATTTATGCAGAAAGAATAATTTGACTATAAAAGTACCTGAACAAACTTTATATAGACGTATTTATATAACTTTTAAAAACTATTGTTAGAAGAAAAGTTACAATATTTTGCAAACAGCCTGAGCTCAAGTTATTTGAGAACATCCATCACCACAATAAGCTCTTTAATTACGTTCATTAGTTGAGAAGAGCCAATAATCAACTAGCCTTTTTGATCAGTAAGCTAACTTGCACTGTGGTCTCAGAAAATCCTTCTCTTCTGGTACACAGGAAAGACTTAACATGCAGTGCAAGTTTGTGGTGAGAAACAGAGCTCTTGGCAGGTTGCTTGCTTCAAGCTGTGACACTAAAACTGGATGTGGTCTGAGGTGTTTACTGGACACTTGTCCAAATATGAAAGCATAAAATGTGTGGTTATTGCCAAGCAAAAATTTTGTAATCTTGACCTTTTGGTAAATGTGTTTGAATTGACAAAAGACATGTCAAAAAGGACAAATTTTTAAAATTCACGTGGACAATAAAGAAAATAAAAGGGAGTGGAAGAAACAGAGCTGAGTCTTTGGATATGCAGGGGCATCTATGGCCACACCACCATGGTGCACCCAATGTTATCAGGACATGCATGGGCATATTGAAGCAGAAGTGAAACGATGACTAATGAAAAAGTAAAAAAGTCTGCAAACATTTTAAGAAATATATATATATATATTTTCAGAACCTATTTTGCATTCAGCTAGGTATTACTGGGCTGTGTACTGACATATAATACCAACTGGTGTATTTTAATCATATGAACTCAAGGCAGAGATTCCATAAATCTTGAATGTATACTTTGGGGAAAAACAGGTCATCATCTTGGCAATTAATTAATATTTTCTGGCACAGCTTCCTAAACCAGGAATGATTAAATGATTTTTTGGACCCAACTCAGTTGAAACTTTGTATAATTCTAAAATTTAGCAATTCATTTGAAGTATCTTTAGCAAATATTTGTGTTATATTAACTTAATCCATGCTAGGACACACCATTTTTTTGTTTGTTTAATTGCAATCTATGTAGTATAATGGAACAGAAAAGTGTTTTTTCCCACTCTGGTATTATCTTTATAATTGTGCATAAATAGCCATAAATAAATAGTACCTTTTAAAAATTGCTCTCAAGTAACTTACACGCATGATTTGCGGGTCAGATGACATCATATTTTTTATTAGCATCCTGGTTACTTTTCTCTGATTGCTTATTTGTTTGCCACTAAACCTTTCATTTCCTGCTAGAGTGGTAATCTCCACATTTGTAAATGGAATGATGCCTTTAATGACTTCTGCATCTTGGATTCAAATGGATTTTGTGTTTACTTCAGTGCTCTGAGTATCAAAGAAGTCTAGAATTTTGGAGATGTCTTAAATTGGTAACATTACTTACCACAAGTGCCTAAAGACACGATCTAGGGATAAGACAGCATTTTTTTTCCCAAAGGAAAATGGCTCATTAATTGTAGATCTGAGTGAAAGCAAGGTGTCTCAAGTCACGTTTTTTTCACTCTTACATACCTATTAGCAGGTGCTCAAATTTTAGCTGACTTATTTCTTCTTCCTTTATCCCCAGTAGCTTCATTTGTGTGCAGAGGCATAAAAAATGCAAGGGGTTAAAAGTCTACAACTCTTGCATTATATTTTGGAGAATATAAAAATCACTACTAAAATCTTACAATGCTCCTCTTGAGGTCTTAGCCAAGAGGCCCTGGTGTTTTTCTACACTGTAATAATGTTGTCTTCATTATTTGACATAGAAGTAACAGTACCAAAGCTTAACAGAAATAAGTAAAAAATAGGAAATTACCGACATTTTCATAATATCATTCTATATTTATTTCTTGGGCTTTTATCTATTATAGGGCAATCATATTGTTTGGCCGTGAATAAACAAAGTTCAATAAAGTGTAAAGCATGATTCCTGTCATCTAGCTGTTCACACCCTATTTAAGGCATACACAGAAGCATATGGTTTTAAATTAGCATGTAATTCACAGTGACAGACACAAACTTCGGGTTTTTTCAAAGATAGTATTATAGATGACAATTTTCTAATAGGTCTCCAACATTAAATATGAGAAAATGGTGTTAGAGAAGGTGTCCTAGACTGGGTGATTTCTGAAGATTAAAAAAAAAAGTTAGAAATCAAGGTAATGTTGTTAAAACATACAACATACCAAAGACAGAAATCTCAAAAACATAGAAGAGAGACATTAAAATGAATAAATAAAGCTACATGCAGTCCAGTACTGTTGGTTTATTAAGTGGCGTTATGAAGAGCTGGAGATGAAAACAGAGCCTGTAGCAAGCTGGAACCACAAGGAAGGGTGTGAGTGAGAAGAAAGATTTATAATCTAAGCTATGTTGTTTGAGTAGTACCGTGTAGTCAGTAAAAAGTCTTTGAGGGGTTTTAAGCAAGAGGTTAACAAGGCTAGGTTTCCATGCTTTGAGCAGACAATGTGACCTACTCAGGGGACAATGAATTTGATGCTAACGGAGCTAGAAAAACAGACACAAATTATTAAGGGCTACATGCCATAGAAGCAAATGATGTTTTTACATGGAACTGTGATATTAACAAAGGAAACTATTTCTCAGTGAAGATACCAATCTATACCATAAAGCAGAACTAATTACTGACAATGCTACACTAGAACAGATTTAGAATGTAATGTTGGTTTCATTCTCTGAGGAAGTGGGGTATATCCAAATGGCTGTTGTATAGCAACATTGTGGTTGCCGCATAGTAACCTTGTGTGCTTATTCACAATTTATCGCCTCTTAGTTTCAAATCTATCCTTCACTACCCTGCTCTACCATAATGAAAAGAGATCCCATAAATTTTCTCCCTTGTCAGCTTACATGATAAGTTTTGTCTCTAAAAGGCACTGTGTAGACTGGAATAGAAAGGATTTTTCTTCCTGCTTTTATGATACTTTCTCTCCTTTTGCTCCTATGGCTGTGGCTACCAGCTGCATGTTTGCGTGACATCCTGTGGTATCTACCCTCCAGCAAGTTTTTGTTAGCTGTCCGGATCCCTGTTCCATGCCTTCCAGCATCTAGCTCCGGCACTCTGGAATGAAGACTTCCTGTTGGCCAGTCACAGCGTGAGATCCATCCTCACCAATTTCAACTTGCTGGTGTTAGAACTGCCCTGTCCTGGGGCCAGCCACAGTTGTGTTGGATTGTCATTTTAAACACCTTCAAAGACTAGAAGAAATTAATTCATCTGAATATATGAGTGGAAATATTCATTTTATTCAGCACTTAGAATAGTTCTTGATCATATTATGATTTATACTTTATACATGATGTATTTTAACGAATTGCAGGTGTTTAAGAAATAAATAATATAGCAGGGCGCAGTGGCTCACGCCTGTAATCCCTCACTCCTATAATCCCTCACACCTGTAATCTCAGCACTTTGGGAGGCCGAGGTGGACAAATT